ATCCTTCTCTCATAGTAACATACATTTTATCATTTTCTAAAAAAAATATTGTTATATAAAATTTCAAGAATCGGCGCTAACTCACTTTGGAATTTATAGCAGAATTCCGCAGTGAGTCCATCTCTTCCCGGAGATTTATCTTTTGCTAATTGTTTTATAGTTTTTCGTCACATAAGTCTTTAAATTCTGAGGAATCAGCTCACACTTAATTTCCTCTAAATAGCTATTAATTAACTCCATATTTATGTTTTGGGTTGGATATAGTTCCTGATAATAATCCTTAATCCTATTTAAAATTTCTTTTTAATTCGATAAATCTTTTTGGTTTTTGTCCCATATTTTCTCAATTATTTTATGTCCCTCCTTCCTTAATTATTCTCTCCTATTTAGTCCTTTCGCCATGATATATAGATTTAAAAATTTCTCCGTTCTAATTTCTTTCCCTTTTTCCTTATTCTCTATTATTGATATTTATTTAATATTTAAATCCTTGTTTGTTTCTTTTGATATCTCTCTGTTCAAATTCAATTTTATTTCCATTTCATCTTTTTTATTAATTTCCCTTTACTAAAAATTATTCGCTAAGGTATTAAATTTCTTTTTAAGATTGTCCCACATTAACTTAATATCGACATGTTCTATTTCTTAAATACTATTTATTTTCCCTTTAATTTCATTTATAAATTCTTCATTCGATAGTATTTTATTATTAAGCTTCCAATTTGCTTCTGTTGTAGATATTATTATCTAAATTTATCAATTTGTGATCCGAAATCTGTGCATCTTTTATTTTAGAATCAATATATGTGTTCAAATTAAAATTAGTTCCATAAAATTTAAATAATCTGCTTGCTAGGTTGTCCTCATATTCAAAAGTGAATTCAATCCTAGGCAGGTTTAAAAATCTCTAAATATCGTTCAAATAATATTTTTTTAAGTAGTCTGGTCATTTCCCATTTTAACATTTTATCATTAGGGGTTAACTCCCCTTTACGGTCAATTTGGTCCCCCAACCAGTTAAAATCACATTCTATTATCAGGTCATCCATTGAGTATCAGCTCAGATATTTGTCTAGTTGTTTTATCAAATCCATTTTTTATATTTATTTGTTGGAAAGTAAATATTGATTATATGTAAAAAAAATTTATAATTATCTGCATTAATCTCCCCCTAAAAAAATCCCCTCCTAGCTTCCTTTCCCATCTTATATCCCTATTATTTTTTATTGGTATTGTCACCCTACTTTTCCTATCTTCAAACTTTGCATTACTTAAAATTACTACCCCGTTAAATTCCCTTTCTAATAAAGAAGTTAAATCACTTGTAAAACCATTATGATTTTCGTGAACCATATTAATATCAGTCTTTTTCTTTACAGTTTTAAAAAATTTCCCCATTAACCCCATTTGCATTGATTGAAGCTATTTTGATGTTTTTTCCCTATCTTTTTCCACCACGTCGCCAACACATTCCTAAAATAAAGAATTAGTTGTATAATGTTTCCAACTATGAAAAAATATTGATGAAATTAATTGCAAATATGTTTCATAAAATTATTAAATCGTTTGCGGAGTCTGAGAAGCATTTTGTTCCTCTTTCTCCTCTTCTCCTCCATTGATTCTGTTTTGGATTTGCTTTCTGTGTTTTTGCTGGATTTATCGCTATTTGTTTTGCTGTCCGTGTTTGTGTTTCGTGTTAGGTCCATTTCATTTTCCTTATCATCGTTTTCTTTATCTTCCATGTCCGTTTCGTTTCCTGATTCATTGTCTTTTTCTGTTCAAGATTCATACTCCGATTCGATTCCTTCTTTTTGTTCTTTTTCGCCTTTTTCCCTGTCTTCATTTTTTTGTTTCTTGTTTACTGGAATGTATTTCTGAAGAGGATTCTGTCAGGGGGTCGCCATTTTCTTTTTTCCCTCCTTTTGGGTCTGTTTTTGTGTACTGCAGTAGAAGTTTTGGGACTGATTTCTCCTTTGGGATCCTCTGTTGCCATTATTGGCTGATCCAGGAGCATGTAAAACCTGATTTTCCTCAGTATTTCTTCTTCTACAGTGTGCAATATCGGTGTCACATTGGGGCTTAAATATTTGCCCCAATCTGTACCTGCCTCCTTAGGTGTTGTTGATGAGAGCTCTACATGTTCGTTTTCTTTCTCTTTTTCTTTCTCTTCCTATTTTGTTTCTTCATTCTTCTTTTGTGTCTCTGGTGTCGATTGTTGTATTTTATTTCTTATTTCTTGTATTAATTGTTCTTCTATTTGCTCTGCTATCTCCTCTTGCGCTTCATTCACATTCAATTGTTGAGTGTTGGCCACACTAGCTTAGGCTGGGTTTGTTACTTGGATTGGGCTCAGACAATTTCTGGGTTTATGCCCTGTCTGCCTACATCTTGGGCATACCCTGTCAAATTCGTAGCCCCTCTACCATGTTTTTAGCAGGAAACCCATTAGTAGAAGAAGCTTAGTATCATTTTGGCATCTTCTCTTTTGATTGTTAATACCATCACGCCAGTTTTCTCACTGCTGAAACCCCAAACCGTTGCCAGAATGTCCGAAACCACATTTATCTTCATTTTCCTTTGCACTTTTCTTACTAGCTCCTCATTTCCTATCTCCAAAGGGATTCCTATTATAAAGACATCCGTCTTCCTTCCTTCGATCTCCCTTATTATGGGCTCAGTTTTCTCAACTTTTGCCTTTACTCCTTTTTTTCACTTCAAAAATCTCTTTTTTGACGATTGATGTGGTGTGATCCTTGGGATAGTTAATATATTTATTCCCCCCCCCCGTTTTGAATTTCATACACCTGATCATTTGGATTGCCTTGCGTCTTTAAGGCTATTAGTGCATCAGCTTGTTTTGGCCAAAATCAATCAATTGGCATCCTTCGGTCCTGGTATCGAATGTGCTCGTGATCGGATCCGACATCAGTGGAAACTGAACACCCCTGACTTTTGTCACGGAATTGTATAAAACCCATTATTTATTAAATTCGTGCACTCCGGTTTCGTTTCTTGTGTACAACGATTCCCGAGGATGAGTTATGTATATTGTACAATATTTAGAAACAGTGAGTTCGGTTCATTCTATATCGATAGGAAAAATCGAATTTTTCCAGCGCACAGACGATGATATCGTCTGTGTATAAATACCTCACCGTAAGACGATGTCTTCACATTAAGGAACGTCAGTAAAGCAGACTACTTAGGAACTTGCACATCTTCAGCTGTACAGGTGTGTAGGTTATTTGTTAATTTATGTATATTATTTCTTATCTATATAATAAGTTATAGCTCATGTACGTACTATCACGTTTATTTTTGTATGTTTTCAATGTAGCTTTGGCTTGCGTAGGTATCTTCTATCCATGTTTGCGACTTATCAAGAGATTTATATTAGCAACATAAAACTGCATTTCATTAAAAAAAAGTTTAATTCTATAGGATTCTTATCGCATACAGGTTCACTTCTGAACCTGTTTATTATTTCGTAATGCTGTAGCGATAATGTATTTTGAATAATTTACTATTATAACGTTATTACGTGTTATCATATATGCCCGTGTCGTGCATAATCCACGGTGTTAAATGTATTTTCAGCTGATCGGAGTGATCTATACTGAGCAGAGTGATCCATGGTGATTGTAGTCGTCGTGGTACCAGCTATAGAACTAACTATATAAATTAACCACTGCAGCCGTAGAGCTGATTGCACAGTGTTGATGGTCGTGTTGCAGGTTATCGGGCGTTGCTGACCGGATTGAAGGGCGCTGATTGCTTGATTGACCAAGGAATTGAGTGGTGGTCGGTGATTACCTATAAAGATGCTTGCTTGACTGATAGCCTAGTGTAATATTGACGGGAGTGTTTTGTCACTCCATACATGTAATCTTTAAGCCGTTTGCTAATTTGTTTTATTTGTTTTATTAAAACCAGTGTTTTGGGCGTTTACAGATATTTTAGTATATCTGTCCAATAAATTCATAATTTTACTATTTGAGTAAAATACGTAATTTTCACTAACTGTGTAAACATCATTCTTACTATTCAGTATAACGTAATTCTTTTCATCTTGTGGAATTATTGTAACTCGTTTACCTTTGTCCTTGTATTGTGTAAGGTCATTTATTTGTATTTATATTTGTTGCATTATTAAGTTCATGAGGGTTATGTTAACTTATCCAATATCTGGATCTTGTACACGCACATATTAATATTCATTCATCATTCAAGTTATACATCAATAATCATTGTATTTACATCACCATCAAAAGTGTTCTTTTGTGAATCCGAAATCTATCTCGATTATCGTTACACCATTCGTATGTATGGCAGCTGAAATAGACATTGAACATTCAAGGCAGTTTAATTAATGACAGGTCACAAGTTAATAATAACGAATACATAATCAGTGTAATATACGAATAAGACTCAATTATAGAAAGCATTGTATAGATGCAATGTAAATAATACAGGCTTAAAATGATAGATTCCTTGGAATTTATGAAAACACCCAACTCTTCGTCCTTTCGTCTTAATTCTAGAGCATGAAATGGCGTAATATCAAATACTAAGTTTTGGACACCTGGCCCAGCCCCATCAGGCTAGACCCCATAAGACCCAGCCAGGTAAGGTGGAAATAACTGAATTTCAACGAGGAGCACTTAGGAAAATAATGACCCCAAATAAGTACTACAAGTCAATCCAAACCTAAGAATAATACTGATTGAAACAACTCTAAATGAGAATTGATAGTTTATATAGGACACTGAATTAATACGTAATGGGGTGGTTAATCCTAAATCAACCCATCCCCCCACTCCCGCACAATGCGGACTAAATAGAGTATAAACAGCAATCATTTATACACGGCGAAAGTGATGAAAATACAACAAAATTTGGTCCCTAAAATTATATTATATAAGGTCTTTATAAGCCCAAATCATCAGTCCGGTCACACAATGCAACACAATTTTGGAACATATTCAATTTAAAAGCCATGTAACCTTTCCGGTGGCTTAGTGATTAGAGCGTCCGCTTTGGATGCGGTAGGCTGCGTGTTTGACCCCCGACCAAGTCATACCAAAGACGTATAAAAATAGTATTTACGGCTGCCTCGCTTGGCACTTAGCATTAAGTGGTTAGTGTTAGGACTGTTCGGACTGGTGTCGGGATAATGTGACTGGGTGGGACATCATATCATGTCATGATAACCCCGTGCTGGACATCACTGTAAACTGCCAGACTGCTGAAATATTTTTAAAGCTGCGTTACAAATTCAAATCACACACACACACACACTCACTCATAGCTTAACCATTTTCAGATCTCTTTTCTGCATAGAGAATCTTTTTTCCACAAATTTCGGCAGGACAACAACATTTTATCTTTTGGAAATGGGGTCTGAAAATATCCAAAGATAATGTGCTCCTGGTGATGGCGCTATGGCACTCTTTCTTCCCTACCTCGAATGGACATGACAACTAATTAGTGTGAGGTGCTCACATTAAAGCGAACGAATTCTCGTCCGACAGTCCGTCCATAAGTAGGCAAGTAAGTAAGCAGTCTTGCAACCGATTACCAACTCAACAAAACAAGCAAGGAATGAGCTCAAATACTGCTTATAAAGTCTTAGCTAGACTTTAGTACACTTGCAATATGATCGTCGCGTCTTTGGCAACTCTAGGAGATCGATGCAGACATGAGAATGTTTCCGAGAACCATAATACATTTGAAATTATCAAATCAACATGTCCTCTCTAGGTTAGGAAGAGGTAACAGAGGAACAATAAAGTTAGAGAGAAAGAAACGCGTTTTGTATGTGCCATGAAACCTACGGTGAGGACCTAAAAATTATCCCAACAGTGTGGAAGAAGTAGTACCCCACAGACTATAGACTGAAATATGGAGAAGCAACAGCCATAGAGGAGGGTACTCATAGACCGTCAAACAGGGGATTGGGAAAGTTAGGTAAATCACCTTACCTCATCTATACTTGTCTTCATCAATCCTTCCTTGGGGTGGAAACAGATGACATGAGATGTTCTGCCTGTGTAGCTAAAGCCGGAGGCGTGAACAACCAGGGAAGAGGAAGAGATTTTATTGTAGGGACTATGGAGGAGTGAAAATTTCATCGCATAATTGCAAATCGATAAAGCTGCAGAGAAAATACGCAAACGGGGACATACGATTTGATCCCTGATGGTAAACGTGAGGCCAAAAGTCCTACTTGTAAGCTGATGGTCTCCACATAAACATTTGGCGCTAACACCGTTTAACTTGTGCTACCAGAGATCGAAGGTGTAACCACTGCTAAGGGAGAAGTGAGGTAGCAGAAATCAAACGGATCTTTTCAGAGCCATCCATAACTCTAGAAAAGTGATACTAATCGTATTGTTTGTACACACTTTCTGCCATTATGTTTTACTATATTTTGTTTATATCAATATAGGAGTTTACACAAACGCTCCTGTCCTTTTCGTCTGAGATTAGGGTGTGTTTGGACTGTATATTTAAAAAGAATCAACATTCCCGTTTGAAATCAGAAAACCATTTAAGGTCATAAAGTTTTAGTCTAATAGGTTAAGACTGAGAAGCTACTAAAGCCTCAAACCTATGACTCAATGTTAATTTACCGTATGAGGCTCTTAACTTTCGACCATTTGAGGCTATAAACCTTTATCACTTTCAGGTTATACACTTTAAAGCTATAATACTATTTCTCATGTTAAACCAGTTGATACTTTTAACATAGGGTTTCTCGTTAGACGCCATAGTGCTTCTTAATGTTCACCTACGGACTAATGTTAATAACCGGTCGAGGACCAAGTGTCGCATGCAACTACTGTTTTTGCTTGACATGGTATCTTCCTTTATATTGCAATACATGTGTCTTGTGATTTTCCATGTAGTCAACAGTGGCCATGTTCGAGAACACACAAGCCGTACTTTAAACAAGCATGAGCCGGAACATATAAGATAATTGCTTTAAAACAGAAATCCCTAATACGTCTTTAAAGCTTTATTTAATCAACAATTTCAACTACAATAGTTGACACGAACAAAAATATATTCATGTGACCTTAATATGTATTTTAAACGTATCATGTATTAGCAGTATTTGGATGGTGGCCGATATATATATATATATATATATATATATATATATATATATATATATATATATATATATATATATATATATATATATTCAACAAGCTCTGAAGACAAAAATATTTGAGATACCCTTGTTTGTCCGAGTTCAATGGTCATTTCTGCCTGCTATAATTCTCCTTTTCATTTAGAAAGGTACGCAAATCGCAACCTTCTCTAAAGTCTGTTGAACAAAATGTAACGTTCGACAAAATGGCTTTGAAATGTATGCTTTCACTACAGGTCCGTAACATAGATGATGGTAACATGTTTATCAGAGAAAGACGTTTGAAGGCAATAGTGTATGTACCGCAACTAGCCGAAAATTGCTTTGACAAGTAAATGTTTGATGAGATCGTTGCCAGTATTGTGAAGTTTTGTAACCAATAATACAGATTAAGTACGTCATACGAAACATGAGTGACAATACGCACATTTTGCATACGTATTACAACTTCCTTGTTATATGTGGTATATTTGGAATAATATAAACAGAATATGAACTATTATAATAAAATGATCAGAATTCAGTATATGACACAAAAATATGAATGTAATAAACTCCATATCTTATATACCGATATTCGACGATTATTTTATTTTTATATGCCCAATTGAAGAAAATGCGGTACCATGTTAATTTTCAATTTCTTCGTTCATAAACATGCTCAGATAGGATATGGAAATAATAAGGAATGTTGGAAGTATTTAGAAAAAAATTACACATAATAATTTTAATTCACGATATCACGTTAACAAGACAGCGACTATACTGCTGTAAAACGTACACATCAAGACGATTTCAAAATGAGGGAAGAACTGTCATGAAAGACGCATACGGATTAGGTTCTTGAACATTTCAGCTCTGAATTCTGACACTACTTTGTCAGAAAGCAACTTTCGACGAAGTGTTTTGCTTGACAATCAGAACGACTAGTGTTAAGATAAATCTGAAAATAGTGAGAAAAACATCGAACAATACTTGACATTAGTACACCAATAGCGACAGAAAATGTGCCCCCATTGCATGCGTCGATAGTTTGTTCATTTTAAATCTGTTAACCTGATAAGGGTTACTTAAAATTCCTTTGAGAAAAAAACTTAGCCGACGCAAGCAATGCGCAGGTAAACGAGACAACAGACGCATGAATGGAGTGAAAAATTACATACCACATATAATTGATTTTAAAATATAAGACAAGAAGCATTATACTCGGACAGATATATTCGTTGCTTTGGAATATCAAGACATGAATGAAGCACTTGGATTGAGGTGTGATATGTTTGAAGAACGTTTCCAAGTCAATGCGTTCATATGACTGTATAGCGACATAAAAAAACTGGAGTTTATACTAATACATTCTTGATATACTAAGACCAACCTCTTGGAAACTTTGAAGGTATAGGATTAAGAAGTATTAACTGTATAATTCTGACTTGCGTTATACTCTAGTTCACGTCCACTGATCAGTTCCTAGCTTAAAGGCAATTCGTTGGCACTTCAAGCTAATGATATCTAACTAGGTATTTTACGTTTCGATAATGAGAGAGCACACTACAATTATGTCTCTGGTCTTTCCGCATATGTTTTACAAACGTGTATTCTTTTTCTTTCACAATGTCCTCTAATGAATCACATACTTCTCTTAGTCCAGATCATACTGTGTAATGTATATGCACGTGACTTTTATTGTGTTATTTATCATTCATTAAAAGTGTCGTTCTTTGAATCGTAACCTATATTCTTCCGCTGGAGAAACATATGGATATCTCGGAACGACGGCCGCTCAGACTCGTGTCTATTCCAGCATTCTAACATGAGATCGTACATTTCCTTTGGACATAGAAATGGCTGTGGCAAGTATAACTGCTGATTGTCGTTTCTATTATGATGTCCAGCGTTCTCAATCACTTGTTCATCAGATAGTCCTTCATAAGGATGGTCTCTAGCAAAGGTCAGAATTTCCCATAACGTCACAGCAAATGACCAAACGTCGCTTTTTGTGGTGAATTTTCCCTGCGAATACAGAGTTTAAATATTTTAAAAATCTAAATCTGATTAAATGTATTTCATTTGTTACGTTTGAAATTGCAAGCATATCATGATCCAGTCAGTAAGCATGTCTCCATATACTTTATTGTTTGGAATACATTTTCATTTTCTTAACAAAATTAAGATTAATGATTGAAAAATTTAATAAAAGATTTCTGATAAGACCTAAACATCATAGTAATGGTCAAAACTTCCTTCTTCTATTATTATTAAAAGAGTTCATTAACAATGTGTTCAAAATATGTCGCAGAGGAAAACCTCCATGCCTTTTCAAATTAAAGATCATATGCCTGTTTAATCTTAATAAAGACAAAAAATGATGAGCATTAAATAACAACACTGCATGTATCTACTACAGACAATACGTTGATAAATCTTGCATAAAATTAAGCTTTGGTAATTGCTTTAATTGATTTGCCAATGTTTCAGGATATGTTACATATCCACTTTGCCAATAGTTTCAGGATATGTTACATAACCACTTTGCCTATGTTATCAGGATATGATACATAACCAATTTGCCAATCAAGTTTCGGGATATTCTTCATAACAACTTTGTCAATGTTTCAGGACATGTCACAACTACCTTGTCAGTGTTTCATGATAGGCTACATAAAAACATTGTCAAAAATGTTTCAGAATATGCTACGTAACCACTTTGCTAATAATGTTGCTACATAACCAATTTGCCAATAATGTTGCTACATAACCAATTTGCCAATAATGTTGCTACATAACCAATTTGCCTTTCAGGATATGCTACATGATCAATTTGTCAATGTTATCTGAATATGCCACATAACCAATTTGCCAATATCATCTCGATATGCTTTATGACCAAATGTCAACAATGTTTCAGGATATGTTACATAACC